GCTGCGGCTGCTTTATCACCTCGTGAATTTACTAACGGCCGCGCTAAAATGTTTTAAAAATAAAATGTACGAGTTTGCTTTTAATCTTAACACTTTTATTCTATTACCTTTGATTTTACTTTAAACAATTACTCTTAACGTTTAGCTTCCTTATAATACTATTCAATATGACCGCTTATCAGCTTGATTCGATAGAAAGTATTATTGCAAATACAGATCAGCTTAATTTAATAAAAAAGATTAAAAAATCTATAATAAAAATCATTTTCTTATTTACTAATCTATTTACTAATCAAAAACGTCTTTCTTAGAATGCGGCCGATACGACGGCAATCGTAACGGCAAGTAATCCGATGCTAAGAAACTTTAGCAAGCGCAAAGTAAATATCTTTTTTACGTAGTATTTTAACTTTTATTAATTTATTAATTTTTCTTAAAGAAAAAGGCTAAAGAGAAGCCAATTATTAACCAATCCTTATACGATAAAAGCTAATGCTCGTACAGCAAAGCTAAAATAAGATCCTTAAGCAGATAAGCTTCGAAAAGTTAAAAGACGAGATCAAGCGGCCGCTAATTAGCTTTTTGCAATTTGAAAACAAACTTTAGAATATTCTTAAGCATCAAAAGCTAAAAAGAAAACTCGATAAGCCGAAATGCGAAAGAATCTTATAAATGAACGGTACTTTTTCTTTTCTTTAATTTATTAAGCAATTTACTAATCGATTTTAAAAAGAATCGAAGCATCTACGCGAATAATCTTGCTATGCAAGCCGCTTTTTTTACAATTAAATTTAATAATAGAAAATACTTAAATAGCGATTAAGTTGATAAAGCATTTAATTTAAACAAAAAGGTTTATAAAGAATTTAATTTGCGAAAAGACGAAGAAAAAAATAATAATATACTTCGCGATAAATACGTTTCGATTATTAATAAAAAGATAAAAAAGGTCACTCGGCAATTAGCACGTTAACACGCATAAGTAAGCTTTTATTTCATTTAAATATTTATATTTTATTAATAATATAAAGTTACGCTATATAATGACCGTTTAGCAATTTCGTCGCTATTAGCAAAGTATAACGCGGTCTTTATTAATAAAGTGCCGAGCTGCTAATTTAAAAAGTAAAGAAGCTTTCTTTAAATTAATAGCTTAAGATTTAACAAGCACGGTTTCAAAACGAATTAAATAAGAATTCATTCTATTATGCTTTTAATTAATTAAATTAATATTATAACTTTTAGTCTTTATTTAATCAAGCTTCTTTACGTTTACTTTTCTTTTAATAAAAAGAAGTATTAGCGAGCTAAAATTAAAGCAAATACCGATAAAATTGAATACGAATTGCCGAGTCTAGCCGCTTAATAGAATATAAAAGGATTCGAAAAGAATATTAAATTTAAAAAAGCTAATTGCGATTTTATTTTATTTTAATGCGTTATGCAATTGATTTAAAAAAAGAACGAGCCAGCTCCGGAGTTGTTTTACGGCGTTAAAGATAACGATACGGAATTAAGATTATTCTTAAATTCAATGCTTAAGTTTATATAAAATAAAATTCACGATTAATTACAAATTTTATATTTTATAAAAATACTTTTATTTATCTTATTTATTAATTATATTTATTAATAATACTTATTAATTATATTTACTTATCATATTTACTAATCATATTTATTAATTATATTTATTAATTATATTTACTAATCATATTTACTAATCATATTTATTAATTATATTTATTAATTATATTTACTAATTACATTTACTAATCGTCGGTTTCTTGTATAACGATACGCTAAGTCTCTTAAACGCACTTTATATGCGCCAAGCTACTTCTTTCCTTTTTTCTTTCGTATTCTTCGTATTCTTTTATTCTTCGCTTTTGATTTATAAATTATAATTTACGAGTCTTTAACGCTTTTACCTTCGTATATATAGACCTTAGCTACTTTCGTCCTTTACACTCGATAATTGTTGATTTTAAATCATTATTTTAAGATTCTCTTAAGCTTTTATATAAACCTTCGCGCTTTCGTAAGTTCTTTTAAGTAATCGCTTAAGGTCGTCACATCTTAAAGTTTTAAATCAAAAGAATTGACCGACTTGCTATATTTAAAATCGATATAAATATATTAATAAATTATTTTAATATTTATATTTATGAATTATATTTAAAATTAATTATATATATATTTTATTTAATATAATAACGATTTTAAAACTATTTATATAAACTTATCTATTAATTTATAATAATGAAATTCAAAAGGCTTTCGTAAGCTATCGAATTTATTACTTTTTTTTCTTGCGATACCTTTTTTTTATATATAAAAAGTCTTTTGCCCGTTGATAATATTAATTTTATAATATCCGTCGTTATGTTCGTTTTTATTAATCTATTTAATAAATAGCTTAATTTTATAGCCGTTATTTTAAAATCGCTTAACTCGATATTCGTTTATTCTAATTAACTAGCTACGATTACGCTCTTTTTCGTCTAGCATTTCTATTGCACACCGAGCGTTTCGACCGTTCGTTCGTCTAATAAAAAAAGAATAATAAGTTTTATTATCTACTTCGGTAAAAATCGAGTTTAATTGGTTTGCAATCCTTAATAAATTAATAACTTAATTAATATATAAATAATAAAACGGCATTTACAAATAAATCGGCAAGCGTCCGTTAAAATATAAATTTCTTTTATCTATTTTTTAATTATAATAGATATTCGAGCTTATAGATATAATTATAAGCTAATACGATTATAAAGTGTTCTATCGTTTTATATAATAAATTTTTAATTAAATGCTTTTATTTTTAATATTTATTAAATTATATTAATTTTATTTACCGCATAATAGCAGCGGAAAAGAAAGCTGCAAAGATTATATTTAAATTAAAATTTCTATAAGCATCTTATCTTAGTATATCAATTAAACCTTAATAAATTTAAATAAGTAC